GTGTTTCCCTCGGACAACCAGCATGACAGCGATGCTGCCTTCCCACAAGGAGGGGTGGGGTTAGAAAAGGTCGACCCTAAAAATGTCACACCTCACCTTACCTCACAGATTTCCGTCTCCGGCGGTAAGGCCCTTTGAAGAACGGAGCTAACACGTCAAAAACCTCCCACAAAAAGGCCGTGCGCGACCGGCCTCAAGCAGTTGTCCCTTGGGCTCTGCGGTCACGCTCCCAGGTCGTTAAGACCAACACTAATCCAATTTCGTTTTTAGGTTCTTCAAGAAATACCCTCAAGAAATTCCCGGTCTCCTGAAATCACGCTCTAAACTACACGTAGGAGCTTTTAACGTACGCACACTGTGCCAAATAGGACAGCAGGCTTCCTTAGCTAGGACTTTAGAATCTCGCGCCATCAATGTGTGCTGCGTCTCCGAAACGCGCATACAGGATTCGAGTAGCGTCATTCATTTGACCTCACCATGCCAAAATAAAGAACCGACTCGATTTATGCTTCGTGTATCTAGAAGCCCTGATTCTGCTTCCCGTGGCCTCCCCGGCGTAGTTATAGCATTGAGTCCTGGGGCAGAACTAGCTCTTTTAGACTGGATCCCAGTAGACAGTCGTTTGTGCGCTGTCCGACCAAACGGAACAGTAAGGATCCGAAAAGATAGGGACACTCGTCGTTGCCTCTTCGTCGTTTCTGCCTATTCTCCCACTGACTGCAGCTCAGATGATGTAAAAGATGAGTTTTACAGAAAGCTCTCCGACCTTCTCCGAAAAGCTAAGCGCTTGGATGTAGTAATAGTAGGCGCTGACTTTAATGCTCAAGTAGGTAAACTAAGCGATAGGGAAAGACACCTAGGTGGATCTTATGGTGTCGTGGCCCAAAGAACAGATAATGGCGACCGTCTGTTGCAGCTATGCTCAGATAACCGCCTGTTCCTTGCAAATACTAACTTTAAGCATAAGGAAAAACATCTTTTAACATGGCGACCCCCTAATTCGTCCCAACGTTGGACCCAAATAGATCACATCGCTATCAGCCACCGATGGAGGGGCTCGATAGAAGACTGTCGCTCATTCTGGAGTACATGCCTAGATTCAGATCATGCTCTAGTGCGAGCGCGTATTTGCTTGCGTCTTACTGGACGTAGGAAAGACGCTGCAAGGAAACCTCTTAGGGCCCTACTTATTGATAGTCAAGCTAAGAGTATATTTCAGGAACAACTAGGAAAACAGTTAGGCAGCCATGTAAGTGATGCCCACTCTGAGGCAGCATGGAATGATATCCGAAAAGCTGTGGAAACAGCAGTGATATCTGCTAGTAAGGTAAACCAGAAGGTTAGGGAGCAACACTGGATCTCAGCAGCATCTATCGCACTGATAGATGCTCGGAAATTCATTCTACCTGGCTCTGAACATAATGAAGAGCGGAGTCAGCTTAAGCGCAAGCTGACAAGAAGTCTACGCAATGATCGCGAACAGTGGTGGGTAGCGAAAGCAAGAGAGATGGAAAAGGCAGCGGCAATAGGTAATAGCAGACAATTGTTCAGACTCGTTAAGGAAACCGGAATTAGGAACCCGACCGTTAGCGAAACAATCTCAGAGAAAGATGGACATATTATTCATTCTCAATCCAGGAGATTGGATCGATGGGCAGAACACTTTAGGGATCAGTTCAACTGGCCTTCAGCCACACTTCGGTTTCCCACGATCTCTAGTCAACCTGAATGGCAAGTTAATGTAGGTCCTCCGTCCCTTTACGAAGTTGAAAAAGCCATAGGAAATCTGAAGCGAGGGAGAGCAGCAGGCCCTGACAGGTCCACTCCTGAGATTTTTAAGGATGGTGGTCTAGTATTAACAATGAGAATAACTGAGGTCTTAGGTAGAATTTGCGAACTGGACGTAATTCCATCTAACTGGTCTCAATCACTGATTGTGCCAGTCTATAAGAAAGGACAAAAGTCCTCTTGTGACAATCACAGAGGAATCAGTTTGACTAATATAGTGTCTAAAATATTAGCCTCAATAATACTTCGACGCCTAACCAAAGCTCGTGAAGAGCAGATTAGAGAAAATCAGGCTGGTTTTCGACCTGGACGTGGTTGTATAGATCAGATATTCACACTACGTCAGGTCCTAGAACACAGACACATTCAGACGCCCCACAAAGTTAGTATTTCTCGACCTTAAGGCGGCATTCGACTCTGTTGATCGTGAGGTTCTATGGCAGTGTTTGTCACTGAAAGGAGTACCAAAGAAGTACATTAACCTTGTAAAGGCTCTCTACTCGAACACAACTGGTAGAGTGAGAGCTTATGGCGAACTGTCATCAGAATTGATTACCTCAAGTGGTGTTCGTCAGGGCTGTCCACTCTCCCCATTCTTGTTAAACTTTGTGGTCGACGTACTTTTAGAGATAACACTCTCCCCATCTAAATTTACAGGGGTTGAACTTCTAACAGGAGATTCACTTGTTGACTTGGAATATGCCGATGACATAGTTCTATTTGGTGAAGACGCTGACAAAATGCAGAGTCTTCTGACCACTCTAAGCAACAATGCAAGCATGTTTGGGATGCGATTCCCCCTCGAAATGCAAAATGTTGCTTCAGGATTGGGTTACATCGACACCCGAACTAGAGGTAGGGAGTGAAGTAATTGAGCGTGTCGATCGCTTCACTTATTTTGGAAGTCTCATCAGCCCTTGTGGTCTGGTGTGTGTCGAAATGTCAGCACGAATACAGAAGGCTCGACTAGCTTTTACCAACTTGCGTCATTTATGGCGTAGACGAGATATCCGTCTATCAACCAAAGGACGTGTTTACTGCGCAGCAGTTCGTCCTGTCCTACTTTATGGCAGTGAAACATGGCCGGTAAGAGTAGAGGATATTCGTAGGTTACTAGTATTCGATCATAGGCGTCTTCGAAACATTGCTCGTATATCATGGGACCATCGAGTAAGTAACACAGTTGTTAAGAAACGGGTACTAGGTAAGGATGGCAAATCAATTGATGAAGTAATGAAAGTTCATCAGTTGAGATGGCTGGGACACGTGTTACGTATGCCCAACGACCGACTACCTCGACGTGCTATGTTCAGTGGTATAGGAGTAGGTTGGAAGAAAGCTAGGGGCGGCCAGACCAAAACATGGCACAAGACCATTAAGTCACTGACAAGTGGACTGAGTCATGTTGGTAGGTGTAGACTATCTGGTTGGGGACCACGAGATGATAGCAACCGATGGTTAGAGACCCTGAATGACATGGCTCAAAATCGTTTGCAATGGCGCAGGTGCATCCACTCTGTGTTCTCCCAAATTTTGATCTCCTTATTCTTCCTTGTCTCTTTTTTTTCTCTTCCCAAATTTATTTCACTGGATTATACTCTTTAAATAACATCTCCAAACACTAATTTTCCTGATTACTGCTTATACTCTTATTACCTCTACCACTACGGGATTTAAATCGACCACTGCATCTCTGTGCTAATGTGGTGTGGCAACTCGAACTGATGTACGTATGTACGAAGTTCTACGTTGTTACTGACTGACTGACCTCTTTTACCAGACCAATAACACAGTTAACAAAAATGGACGAAAACCAATATTTTAGCATATCAAACCCAGATTAACTGAACAGAAAACTAGAGTGACTAAACCGGGTTGCTAAGAAAACAAACAATGTAAATTTCGTCTGTTTAAAAGACGTATCTCACTTTTACGACAAATGTAATAGGTAATACAACAGAATCCCCGATGATTTATATTCTTAGCCACATTTTATAAGATAAGAAAATAGTGGACAGTATAATCCTCAACTGATCGTCCTAAGAATCATGATGGACGAATGGTTGTCAATCTTACCTTTCATTTTACAGCGATATATCATGAACGAACCAACTCTTATTTTTATATATTTAGTCCAAGTCATAGAAGATGGAGACCCAAGAGAGCAGGACTAAATAATTTTCCATCAATATCCCCGGACACATTGTTGATTGACCTGACTTGCTACACCATAAGAATTTTTACAGCTAATCAGATACATAAATTCTCGGATTATTCTCAGCAGTCCACCATAAAGAGCGAGTGCAAAAGCAAAATAATGCTGGTTCTGTAGAAGTACTCTGCATTTAGGTGTAAAATGCATGACATAATAACGAGCATTGATTGTCTGTATATTGTTACACAGTAAAACGACGCTACTCACACACCAATGGTTGGGGGAGTTTTTCTGAGTAACGAACTGCTACTGTATACTTACTTGAGAATGGTTACCGGAATATTAAAGAGGAACTGTGAGATAGAGCAAACCTGGTTGACTGGGCTGGTGAAATGAAACAATTGACAGAAGTCATTGTATTCCTCACTGTACGAGGTATTTATGTAGAGGATGTGCATGGATATTTCATAAACACTATTTTTTGATGGTCAGACACAAAGGAAGGTCCTGTTTAACGAAATTAAGACAGCCTTGGTATCAAAAAATATAAAAACTATCAGCCGGTGTTTCAGAAAATAGAGAAAGATAAGAACGCAAAAAATATATACACGACTCAAACAAAGATCCGGTAGCTTTTTCCGAGCATAATTCTTACAATCTGCAGTGCGTGAGGGTCAATATTTCTTCCGACTTTGTTAAGCATCTGGACGTAAATATTAAATTGCTTAAACCCTATGAATGAATCAGAAATCGAAATCCGGAATCTATAAAACAACCCTTAAGATATTTTGAATATCATTCATAATACGGCGTATTATCCTTAGCAAGCGTTGCAGGTTGTTCCCATGTTTTTTGATAAACTGCCCCCTAATAATGCTTATTTGGCGTGATACTACACTTGATGATCAATTCAAATTACATAGTTTAAGTATTTGATTTTCAACAAAACTAGTGACAAAACATCTTTCACAAGATTACGAAAACTAGAGAGCCTGAGGACTTATACATGTGCATACATAACTAATCACAAACGTTAAGCAAGAACAAAAACATTATGCTATGTCGACCTTATATTTTTTAAGACATCACAAATTAGTTGAGTATCACTAAAACAAATATCTTCTTTGAAATCAGTACTAACAAGTATTGTTTTTGAAGTATCCAAAACCTTAGTGATCAGCCTGGTGATAAGACAAGTATTCAACTGTAAAGGAGAATAAGATAGAATTGTTAGGTAACTTACAAACAATAAAATATCAAAGGACAATTGATGCATTGCACGAAAATAAATCATATATCTGTAAGCAAAACTGAAATGAGGCATTCATGAAATCCGTAATTTATCAAAATTCTCAGCTTTATACAGTTGAAGGTAGGTACAATAAAAAGCAAACATAATTTTGAGCTAGTGTGTAACAAGTGTAATTTTATTTGACCCACACTATTTTCATATGAACTTACATTGAAAGCAAGTAACGCAGTTTCATCTCCAGACGTTAGATTACTTTTTGAAACCGTAAAGTGGGAAAGAGATGTGTTAAATATTCACTAAAGCAACAACCCAGTACATTTATAGATAGTGAGGTTTCTGAAACTAAAATTCCGACTGAAATACGCATCTTATTTATTTATTTGAACACATGAATATTGGTACAAGAGAGCGCCAATATATATGCGCCACACAAAACAATGAGAATTCGAAGAGAAGTAGAAAGAAAAAAAACTAAGGAGCGCAAAAGAAAAAGAGAACAATGACGAAGAGGTTGGAGTAAGGTAGTGTGGTAGTAACGACGGAACGAAAAGGTACAATCAGAAGAAATCTTTCAGGTAAAGGAGACACAACCACTTTTTATGAAGAAAGTAAAAGAAGGTTACAGCAGGATCGCCACTGGCTTCTATTCTGAGCCATATCTGATAACGTCTCTAGCCACTGTGTAGCACCATCTCTCAGACCCCAACCAGGGAGTCGTGAAGGACCGACAGAAGCCAGTCCTTTGCAGCTTTCTTTCATGCCACGACACCATGTCATGCACTGACCACCTCTCCGCTTCTTCCAACCAGTCCCAGAGTCGGCAAATAATGCACGACGTGGAATTCTCTGGGACGACATTCGGAGAACATGTTCAAGCCACCGAAGTCGGTGTTTCAAGATGGTGACACCAATTGAATTATCATCTCTGTGCCCGAACACACGATGCCGAACCTCTGCATTACTAACATGGTGTTGCCACTGAATGTCAGCAATCCTTCGGAGACAGCGATGATCGAACACAGAGAGTCGTCTAACGTCCTCAACTCGGAGAGGCCATGTTTCACAAGCATAGAGCAAAACTGCTCTCACCGACGCGTTGTAGATCCGACCTTTTACAGCCAGACTAACATCACGAAGGCGCCAAAGGTGGCCCAGATTGACATAAGCCGCTCTGGCTTTCACTATTCGTGCATTGATCTCATCACTCACACCCCCACCAGCACTTATGCAGCTACCCAGATACACGAACTTCTGAACTACGTCTATATGCTCACCATCCAGGGTGAGTACAGGATTAGAATCCTGCCAGTCTTGTAGAAGTACTTTGCACTTCGAAGGTGCAAAGCACATACCATACCTACGGACACTGATTGCCAACTGATTACGCATCTATATCGAATCGTCTTACTCGTCCAATTATAAATTGCGTATTAAATCATAAAAGGATAGGGATGAAAAGGGATGTGACAAGGTCAATCTTAGCAAGTAAATCCCGATGTCTATTCGATTGATTTATTTTTTAAATTGTGTCTATTTTTGGAAGCTTATTAGCTCCCAGCTTTTTAAAGATATAAGCGAAACATGCAATGAAGTGCACTACAATATAGTACCAGACGTTTCAAACTTTAAGAAAGAAACACTAATGTACAAATAACATGAAGGCTCACTTTGTCAGGACCAAACAGGGTCCGAGTATCAAGGTCATGAGAAACATGACCATTTACTGTCGGTGGATTGCTTTTTTGGGACAATACCTGAAAGAATATTTCGACAAATACTTGATTTACAATATCCCCAATCATTCCATTGCGTGAAATAAGTACAATTAAGTGGTCAGAAAACTCTATTTGTACAATAGTGACGGTAAATCCAGCAACAGGAAGCTCTAAAATGGACTAAAAAACTTGAATGGACATGAACGCAATTACCTTGAATACAGCAGGTAAATCCATTAACAGCAGAACTTAAAAAGGATGGAAAGGAAGTCTTGAGTAGTAGGAATAAAAGGACAGGTGGCCTATAACAATTCTTGGGATTTACAGTACCTTGAAGATCCAATCACTAGTGTATATTAATTCTGTCTAAACGGACTGAACCTACATGGACGGAAAAATTTAGGGACTATGGTACACAATAAATGGTATTATAAGTCATAATTCTAGATGAAGGTAAAGTAAACTCACTCACTGCGATTCGACAATGTATACGCTACCGTAGAGTTGAGCTATAGGAAAACTACAAAGAAAAGATCAGGTGTTGTAACAGAAAGCACACAACATAAAACATAACTCATGACTTGAAAAACATATTAGAGGGCTTTCATTACATTTATAGAAATGCTAAATTATTGTACGGCGACCTAAATAGCAACAGGAATTCCTGCATTTAGAAATTTATTGTGCTTAAAACACTTTTTAGGAACCGAGCGTTCATGTCTTATACTAAAGCTAATTATAGGCTATAGGGTACATGTTTTAAGGTAGCTTTTAAGTAAACCTATGCATACTAAACACTTTAACATTAGGAACCTTGACGTACATGTTCCTGTTAAAATATATATGTACATTCGTATATACGGACATATTAGGGGGCGAAATTCATCCATTAACATGACTACGAATAGTCATGTCCATCGAACTATAGTAGATATCAGCTCGTGGTGAAAACCTCAATAAATTGCATAATAAGTTTCAGTATTCATGTCAAGTCGATTTGTTTGCCGTGGTTTTATTAATCTTTACTATTATTCTGCAAAGGTCATTCATATTCTCTACTACCATAAAGTGAGAGGATAAGTAAAATGACTTAGTTAGCACATATAACGATTTCATATTTCAATGCATCATAAGAGTATTACACAAAACCAGAGTAACGCAACATTTCAAGAGTGTTACACTAAAATTGTGTTCAGATAGTTTCAAATGGTCCTGAAAGGAATAGAGAATGCTTTCGCTCAACGGGCTTCCGTATTCAGTAGGATTGGATCACTGATGCAACCAGGTAGGAACCCTAGTATATTAAACGACAAAATAGAAAAATATTTGTACATTATAGATACTCTCATTATTCCTTGAGAATATGTCAAGTTTTATCTCGAAGGACTCCTGAAAAGTTGCTTAAACAAACTCAGCTGGCAGATAATTTCAGCACTTGACTAATCTCAGGACTGCTTAAAATGCCGAAAGTCATTAGAAGTTCATCTCTTATACGCTTGTACTCTAGTGAGTAAAGATCTAGTGATGTGAGGTGCTCTTCATGAAGTTTGAATTCTCAAACTGATTTCGTGGCTCGTCATTAGATACATTTCAGTTTTCTTATCCTTTGAAGTGAGGGAGGAGACATTATATTTCTATACTCCAAATTGTGTCCTATAAAACAATTGAAGTTTCAGTGAAATGTCTTACCGTCAAGCTAAATGAAATGCGCTTAAATGTTACCAATACAAGATTTGCTTGAGAGGTGTTTTTCTTGTGGTTGGCGTATGACTTCTGATCATAGAGTACTAACAATTTCTGATTCTTCTCTAACGTGGGATATCGATAGAGGTGAGTCACCTAATTTGTATTCGTAGTCTGAAACATTTCTCAAGTGGAATACTTTACACTCTGAATTGTCAAGTGTAAGCCCGTTTTTGTCCTCCCAACTTTGAAGGCGAGCCAGATTCTCCCGAAGTGCCAATTCATAATTTTAGGTGCAAACTTCTCTCCAAAGTTTCACATCATCAGCGAAAGGTACTAAATCAGACGATACCTGCTATGGGTGATCATTTGTATAAATCCGGAGGCGTCGTAGTACTGAATCCTGAGGGACCCCACTAAGATACCCTGTAGTCCGTGAAAAGATGAAGTTTATACTGACACTAAACGGTCGATTATTTAGATATGAACCATGTTAATTCATTCAAAATGATAAGGTACCTAATATTTTGGGCTCACTGATGAGAAATATATGATTCTACCTGCCGGAAGCCTTGACATGTCAAAGTATCTGACATTAACCTTTTTCTTAAGATCGAGGATGGTTGTCATCAGTTCACCACGGCTATCAGGTTGGTTATGCGAAGATAAACTCTCTAAAACCGTTCCGTTCGGGTGATAATATGTTTATGGATAGCAAGTAGTCACGTAGACTATCGTATATCAGAGACTCCATAAATTTTGAGAGAATGGAAAGATGTGTTACCGGCCAGTAGCCTAAAAGTTCACTGCGTCAAAAACTCTTGAAAACTGATATAATGTGAGTTAGTTCAGCGAAAATAAAAACACCTCGCTAGGTGGTTATATAAAGATTGAAGCCGCCTCTCTCAACATAGCAGAACGGACCATATCCGGGCCAGGATAAGTGTTCTTCTTGTGATGCACCAAATCAGCACTCAGCTTCACTTCTGAGAGTCTTGGCGAATTCCAGGTGAAGGTTGAAATGTCTGAAAGTTTTGTTCAACCAGAAGATCCGTGATGTCATCGTGGTTAGGACCTAACAACTGTGGAAATCCGGTTTTGACTTCCTGGAGAGTAGGTGCACAGTGGAGAAAAATTTGTCTATCAGCTTTATCTGATGCTGAAGCTTGTCGTTGTACATTGTTTCTTTGCTCGTTTGAACTCCATATGTACGCCGTCGTCATCATTTCATTTTTATCCTACACAGTATTGTTCTTCACATCATAGCATTCGAAGAGTACGATTCTTTATGACTGCATGCCGTTTGTTATTTTCAAGGACCGTTCGCAGGACAGACTGTTTTATAGTACATTAGATCACATGCAGTAAGAAATCCCAATAAGCGTCCTCATCGAGTTGAGGGTGTATTTCCCAATCAACTTGCTGTAGACTTGTAAAGCTGATTCATCCAACCGTTCAGAATTTCAGAGCCTGTTGTCGATAGGATGTCTTAGCTCAGTTTTGCTGGTAAAACTGAAGGCTATGACGGCGTGATAACTTTCCCGGGAGAGCCAGGATTACGAAGTTATCACTAAGGAATTTCTCATTTATAAATATGCAGCCTGAGTGTGACGCATCTAACCGTATCTCTACCAAGTTGCATACCTCACATTTTTAGATAATCCCAACCTTCAATGACGTTAAGGAACTGAGCTTCAGTGGAGTTGCCACATCCAATGTACATATGCCCAGCGAAATTGATTTGAGAGAGTTTGTAGTGGCATTTGGTCCCAATACGAGACAATGTGGGAAATAGACATTCAACACTCAACACGGAGAAAGACTCAGCGATGAAGAGGGTGGGAAGAATGAATTGAATTAATTGGAGTTGGTCGTATGGCATGGTTCGGTCATGTAGGCGTGGTCCTTGCTAAATGTTGCCTTATATCTTTTATTCATATTAAATATATTGTTCCATCTCTAGCCTAAATTTGTTCTCTATCATGTATTGGTAATTGTTACGATGTAATGAGTTGGTGTAGGCGATGATGTGACGTCCAGGTAAGATCTTATAGATTAGGCAGTTATATCATGACAAATCTACAATTACAGGATTAGGACTATTAGTAAAGCAGTACCAATATCATACTAGATCATAATTCTACAAGTTTTAAGTCTCCTCGAGTCGTTATACGAGTGGGTCCGAAACGAGTATAGTGGGTTAATTCCTCCAGTATACGGAGTGACATTCACCAATTAAGAGGATGAGGGGATTATCTTCATTAACCGGAGTCTAGAATCGCCGTCCTGCTTGGCAAGTCTCACCACTCGTTATGCCAATATGTTATTGAGCTTCAAGGACTTCCTCCTGAATTTATACGTTGGAATATCATGGTCTGAATAAACGGGGTCCGTGTTTCGCGGGGCACCTTGCACGACGATCTTTTTCCGCGAAGAACGTCTTGAAGGATTCTTTGTGGAATACCTGATGAGACCGCACCCAGGATGTAATTGTGGTGTTTGAATGAACCAATGATACCTTTGTACTGGTTGAATGTTTGATTTCGAATTCTAAATACAATACATTCGTTTGTGCCTGTGTCTTCTTAATTCAATTGCGTTAATCCTGGAATTCCTAATTCATACGACAATTAGAATACTATATTGGCGTCGTGATGGAACATGCAATGCAAAAGTTGGATATTCATTCAACTCCTGAAGCTATTGAGGATTATTTGGAAAGGTTCGAAATTTGGAGCATGACCAAGAAAGATGTTAAAGGTGAGAAAATTGTGGCACATTTTCTGACATTCATTGGGAGAGAAGCGTACAGCTTATTAAAAACTTTGGCATATCCAGAAAAACCTATCTCACTCCCTTATGCAATTCTTAAAGAGCTATTGTTAAGTCATGTAAAATGAACCAGTTTTGAATGCCGTGAAAGGGCGAAGTTTCATAAGATGGTTCGTCAAAATGACCAAAAGGTTCGGGAATTCATCCTTGAATTACAGAAACAAGCTGCCAAGTGTAATTTCGGTGATCAACTTCATGTGCAACTGAGAGATCGATTAATTGCAAGAATTAACATACCGAGTTTGGAAAGAGAGCTGTTAAGAATGCCAAACTGTTCCTTTCAAGATGCTAGAACTGCATGTATTAACTACGAAGCAGTCAATGAACTTGATATCCAGTCGATGAACATTTTTAATACTTTGCTTAGTCGTCGTGATGAACTACAATCTCAGGGTCAATCAAACTTGCGTTCATTTAACAGTGATTCCTATTCTCGTGTAAATATGAAAGGTGTTTCAACGAGGAATTACAAAGCGAATCACAAAGGTGAGATGAAGTTTGGTAAATGTTTATCATGTGGAAAGTTTCATGCTCGCAATTTATGTGTATTTCGTAATGCTAAATGTTTTAAATGTGGTAAGGTAGGACACATTCAGTCAGTATGCAAAGCTACTGTCCATTTTGCTTCGAGCTGTACTAAATCTTGTAATTTAAATTTCAATAATTCGGATGTTTCTAGTGATCATTTGTCTTTGTCCACTATTTCGAAAGGTAATGCTCATATTCAGAAGCGATTATATACATCGCTTGGTTCATTTCATGACTTTATTCTGGACACAGGCACAACGAATGTATTGTATTTAGAATTCGAAATCAAACATTCAACCAGTACAAAGGTATCATTGGTTCATTCAAACACCACATCCGCCACAGCTTAAATTGGAGTCTAGGTGTTTGTAATCAATCATACGTCTTCTTCTCAAATTCATCCTGAGTCTGTCTGACATTGTATTGGATAAGGATTCTGTATTATCTAGAATATGCTCATTAGCATTAGAATTAACAATCGAAATTGGAACTGACTCACCTGGTTCCTGAAATTGTATTTGATCTACATGTCGACTGTGTGTACTTAAGTCATCGATGTCTAGAATTCACACTATCGATTTTCCGACATTCTTCAGAACAATACCCGTCGATGGTCGAAGATCATTTCCTCGATAGTATGTAACTTCTGCAGACTCCAGACATCTCATATTCGACCGAAGAATTCTTCCTTTCAATAGCTTCGCTGGAGTCACCAAATTCTGATTTCACAATACAAGCATTAAGAAAGGTGTTTAGTCGAGAAGGTGTTCCCTTGGTGTTGGTGACTGATAATGGCTCACATTTTGCTGCAGATGCAGTCACTACCTGGTTGAACGGTATAGGGTGCAAACATCTATTTACTGCTCCCAGACATCCGTGTTCTAATGGTCAGGCAGAGAATTTTGTTAGGACATTTAAGACTGCTATTGATTCTATAGCCCCCTCAACATTTAATGAGCTGGAGAGGGGAGTAGATACCTTTCTATTGCAATATAGAAATGCCAGACATTCGGTGACGAAGGAGACTCCAGCGAAGCTATTGAAAGGAAGAATTCTTCGGTCGAATATGAGATGTCTGGAGTCTGCAGAAGTTACATACTATCGAGGAAATGATCTTCGACCATCGACGGGTATTGTTCTGAAGAATGTCGGAAAATCGATAGTGTGAATTCTAGACATCGATGACTTAAGTACACACAGTCGACATGTAGATCAAATACAATTTCAGGAACCAGGTGAGTCAGTTCCAATTTCGATTGTTAATTCTAATGCTAATGAGCATATTCTAGATAATACAGAATCCTTATCCAATACAATGTCAGACAGACTCAGGATGAATTTGAGAAGAAGACGTATGATTGATTACAAACACC